CAGTTTGGGCGTCGTGGGACGTTTGGGAGAAGGATGAGAGGTGGCGAGAGACGATGAGAGATAAGAGATGGAAGGAGACGTTTGGGAGAAGGATGAGAGGTGGCGAGAGACGATGAGAGATAAGAGATGGAAGGGGACGTTTGGGAGAAGGATGAAAGGTGGCGAGAGACGATGAGAGATAAGAGATGGAAGGGGACGTTTGGGAGAAGGATGAAAGGTGGCGAGAGACGATAAGAGATAAGAGATGGAAGGGGACGTTTGGGAGAAGGATGAGAGGTGGCGAGAGACGATAAGAGATAAGAGATGGAAGGGTGGAGTTTGAGATAAGGATAAGAGAGAAAGAGAGAGGAGAAGAGATAGAAGGGTTTTTCAGAATCAGGACTTTTCGCGTGAAGTTTAAGATAAGGATAAGATAAGGATAAGAGACGAAAAGAGACAAGAGATGGAAAGGTTTTGAGAGTGTGAAGTTTAAGATAAGATAAGAATATGGATAAGAGAGGAAGAGAGAGGAGAAGAGAGGAGAAGAGAGGAGAAGAGAGGAGAAGAGAAGGAAGGATTTTCAGAGTCTGGACATCGTGTGGAGTTTTTGGGTTAATTTGGTTTAGTTTTGGTACAACTGGATTGCTTTTATCAGTGGCGTATGGAATAAGATAAAGCAGGAGAGGATTTCTTTCGAGTTGATTTTTTTTTTCGAGTTATGTAAAAAAAAAGAAAAGAAAAAAAAGGAAAAGGTTTTTTGTTTTTTTGTGTGATTCCGGGGTTGAGGCAACTGGTTCTTTTCCCCCTTCGTTCTCCTCTTCCCCTCTCCTTCCCTTCTCCCTCCCTATCCTCTCTCTTCTTTCCCCTTCCCCTTCCACTATCCCATCCCCTTTCTTTCTTCTCCTCTTTCCCCTCTCTTCCTTCCCCTTCCCCTCTCTTCCTCTCCCCTCTCTTCCTCTCCCCCCACCCCCTTCCCTTCTCCCCCTACCCCATCCCCTCTCTCCCTATCCCATCCCCTCCCTCCCTTTCCCCTCTCCCTTCCCCTTTCCCCTCACCAGCGTTCCCACCATGAAATAAAATCATCTATGCCCTTCGCCTCATAAACGTCTATTGCCATCCCCTCCCCTGTGAGTAAACTGCCAGGCACACTGATCCCTCCAGCCTCCGTCTTAACACTTTCTATACAGCTCTTAACACCGGGCAAGTAAACATAATCATAAATATGCAAATATTGCTGACCTTTTTTGGACGTAACATTATAGTGGTAATACTGACGTCGGAGAGGCTGACGTGAAGGGGCAGCTTCCTCGTGCAGGAGGCGAGAGACAAAGAGATTTCGAAGCGAGGGCGTCGGGGAGGGAGGGGGGGGAGGGGAGGGGAGGGGAGGGGGAGGATGGAGAAAGGAGACGCTTCGCTTTGTCTGGAGAAAGTTATTAGCGGCGAAGGGAGAAGGAAGATGAAAGAAAGTGAAAGAAGGAGAAGGAACAAGAAGGAACAAGGTAAAAGTAGGAAGGAGAAGGAAGAAGGAAGATGAAGGAAGAAGAAGGAAGAGGAAAGAAGAAGAAGGAAGAAGAAAAAAAGAAGGATGAAGATAAAAGAAGAAGGAAGAAGGAAGAAGAAAGAAGAAGAAGGAAGAAGAAAGAAGAAGGAAGAAGAAAAAAGAAGGAAGGAGAAGGAAGAAGAAAGAAGAAGAAAGAAGAAGCAAGAAAGATAATGAAGAAGAAAGAAGATGAAGGAAGGAGAAGGAAGAAGAACAAGGAAGAACAAGAAAAAAGAAGGAAGAAGATAAAAGAAAGAAGGTGAAGGAAGAAGAAGAAAGAAGAAGAAGAAGGAAGAAGATAAAAGAAAGAAGATGAAGGAAGAAGAAGAAACAATAAGGAAGAAGGAAGAAGAAAGAAGAAGAAGGAAGGAGAAGGAAGAAGGAAGATAGGATGTGACGAAATGCCTACTGTCTACGTACATAAAGTCTCCTAATGACAGGCTTCAGGAGAAGAAGCGAAGGTCGCGTTTGAGAGAAAGAAAGGAAGGAAGAATGGATGGAAGGAAGAAAGAGAGAGAGAGAGAAAGAAAGGAAGAAAGAAAAATGAAAAAAAAGAACGGAAGCGAGAAAGAAAGAAAGAAAGAGAGAGAGAATAAATGAAAGAATAAATGGAAGAAAGGAAGAGAGAAAGAAAGAAAGAAAGAATAAGTGAAAGAATGAAAGGAAGAATGGACGAAAAAAAGGAAGAGAGAAGGAAAGAATAGATGAAAGAAACGAACATAGAAAGAAAGAAAGAGTGGATAAAAGAAAAGAAGAAAGAAAGAAAGAATGAAAGAAAAGAAGAAAAGAATAAATAAATAAATAAAGAATGCACGAAAGATAAATAGATAAAATAAAAAGTGAAAAAGAAAGAGAGAAAGAAAAAACCCTTAGCTAGCTCTCTCTCTCTCTCTCTCTCTCTCTCTCTCTCTCTCTCTCTCTCTCTCTCTCTCTCTCTCTCTCTCTCTCTCTCTCTCTCTCTCTCTCTCTCTCTCTCTCTCT